TTTATGTTGGAAAAAATGGTCTTCATCATTAGCAGTAATTTTAAGCTAAGGCGATACGCTATCTCCTTCATATAATACACAGCTTTTCTTAATTTCTCAAGATGTCACTAATATATTAGGCTAGAGTATATAGTCTATAGTTTTGTTGTTTGTTTGTTGTTGGCTTTCTTTTTTTGATTGTTTTTTTTAGAAAATTGTTTTGTTTGTTTGATTGTTGTTATGTTTTTCGGCATGTCTGAAAAGCAATCTTTCAGCTCGTATACCGGGTCAGTTTCCACGCAAAAGGGCATGAGCTGATGATCGTGGTACCAACCTAAATGGACGATGGTGCATGGTAGTTCAATCAGGCATGCCCATCCCTCATGCAGTTATAGATTAATTATTTATAATAATCACCTACTCTTGACGAGTTGAGTCAAGAGTATCGACTTAGTATGGATTTCATGTCTCAGTTGCTGAAAGGGTAAGCCTGTTTCTCCTCTACGCCAAACTTTGCCTGCTGGTGTCCACCTGGATCAGTTCAATCTCTTTTTCATAACAGGCGCCCACACCACCTTTGAGAGACTACACCACAATTTCCACTCATCAGTATGCAGCACAGAATTCTACAATAAGTGTAGAATTCTGTGGTATGCAGTAATCAACCATTTAAAAAGAAATAGATGTAGTAGCCTACTACTTGTAAATAGCCTGGCTAAAAAAAATCGAAATGTGGCCCTGCATGGATGGATGGATGGATGGATGGTTTTGTCAAGGATGAATCTAACGAAAACAAAGGCATGATGAAAGTCGTAGTCGAGTTCGGAAAACATGGGGGGGGGGGTGTCTTTGGCTGTCGGTTTGAATCTTATAAACAATATAAAAGAAACCGACTGTGATCCTCCTGCTGCACCACTCCAAACCATGTCATGTGTTACAGCTGATCATTGGTTCAAACAATACTAGATCTATCTGTTGTCGTTGGATTTTTTAAAATTTATTTATTTTTTAAAATTCTGTCAGCCTCATTAACCAAGGCCATCACCCACATCACAAAGCGCAGGGATTTAACGCCTTTCTCCTGGATTTGGCATAATTTTATGTTTTTCAAAATGCAAAGTGGTAGGCCGACTACTGAGCAACACTGTATGACTTCTTCGGGACAGAGAGGTTCCCAAATGGTTTTATGTCAACACCATACTTTTTCATAATAAGATGGAGTTGTCCCTCGGCTCCCTTGGTAAGACTTTATTTAGCTTCCCTAATATATTTGAACCTTTGAAATCTCCATGAGCCAGTATATGCGTTGGGCCGTTATGAAGTTATCCATGGTGGTGTTTTAGTTCAACCAGAGAGGTTCAACCCTTGCTTTTTGGAACTACAGTATGTCAAAACACTGCATTCCCATTTTTTCATTAGCGGTGAAATTTCTATATCTAAGTTACTGTCTATGTCACTCAGTGTCAACAGGATGCAAAACTCCTGCTTCTTAAGTCTTGGTGCGTTAGGGATTTTGGGATGCAGTCATCAAATCACTTGAAACAAAATACAGCAGTCTCCGCCTAAGATCCCAGCGCTTACGATCCCGGTTATCTTAAGATCCCTCTGTTTTAAGAAAACAGAATTTTTACTAAACAAAGGTAACCCCTAAGATACCGCTCTGATTCACTCTGAAGGTCTACATTCGGCTAAGATCCCGCATTTCATATCATAATTTACGGAACAAAAACCCGGGCGGGCACAGCCGATCAACCAAGAGTGAAAAGTTGAGATTTATAAACTGTCCGTCGCGTCCAAGATCAGCCACTATCGTGAATGAGATCACATACATGTTGTAAAACTCGAAGAAGCGATACAATGTTTGCTCCAGACGGGATCACACCGAGGTGTGTACTGACCGACACGACACGTTTGTTTTCCCCACGCATCGCACTCACACCTGGTCCTGAGCTACAGGTTCGCTCCAGGCGGGATCACATCGAACTGTGAACTCTTCCCTGACCATTGCAGCAGTTGTCTCTACTCGCGAATTTGCGAGACAGACTGAATTTTAATTTGTTTGTTCTCAACGTAATGGTGTGTAACGACAAATGTGGTTGGGGGGGGGGGGGGGAGGGGAGGGGGGACTCGGTCAAAGATGAAAAGTTATAAATTTTCGACAGGTGAAACGGAGGGGCAACTGGATAAGCGTAGATCTTGAGACTCATGATAGGATAATAAGTGAAAATGGCAGACTCAAGCCACTATGCACTGTGATAGGCCATCAAGGTTAACCACTATTTGCTCGCCATATGTCATAAACTCACCCAGGGATCAAGTCAGTTCATTTTAGAATGGAGGGAGCCTTAACATGGGTCAACATAGATTCTTCGCGGGGTTCGTCGGTTAAGATCCCGGTTCGCCTAAGATCCCGCATTTCCTTGCTCCCGAGCACCGAGATCTGGTATTCTAAAGGGGCTGCTCTCAGCCTTGGCAAGACCTGTATCAAAGTTTCCTTATGTTGTCAACCCCCCCCCCCCCC